GGTGGATGTGATGCAGATGTGAAGGCGCGGATGGGCAAAGCAAGAGCAGCATATTTACAACTGAGGAACATCTGGAACTCAAAGCAACTCTCTGTCAACCAACACCAAGTTCAGGATTTTCAATACAAATGTCAAGACAGTTCTACTGTATGGGGCAGAAACCTGGAGAACTACGAAAGCCATCATCCAGAAAATACAGGTGTTTATTAAGAGTTGTCTACGCAAAATATTTCGGATCCGTTGGGCGGACACTATTAGCAACAACGTACTGTGGTAGAGAACAAACCAGATGCCAGCGGAGAAAGAAATCAGGATGATGATGCGCTGGAAGTGGATAGGACACAGATTGAGGAAAGCACCCGACTGCGTCAGAACACAATCTCTCACATAGAATTCTCAAGGCCAAATGAGAAGAGGAAGACCGAAGAACACATTACGCCGAGAAATGGAAATAGACATGAGAAAAATGAACAAGAATTGGATGGAACTAGAAAAGAAGGCCCAGGACGGAGTGGGTTGGAGAATGCTGGTCTGTGGCCTATGCTCCATTAGGAGTAACAGACGTAAGTAAGTAAGTAAGTAATAAACGCTTAACCTGTAGACCATTGAGTTGACATACATTGATGTTAATGTCTAACTTCAATCAATCTACAAAATTGCATCACCGTCCATCATATTCTTCAGTGATTTACTATCTCACGATAGACCTTATTGAACTCTACTGATCATGGCTTTAATTGACTCATAATTCAACTATTAAATTACCTTCCTAGTTAAATTTGTCCTTCCAAAACAAACAAACAAACAAACAAACAAATTCATTGCCCACATTTGAACTAACGGTGTATAGTTAGTTTATTATTTAATCCTATTCAGTTGTCATGTTTATAGTTTTAATGGATATAATGAATAGTTTATGAAGAGATATATTGATTTTCAAATCATTAGTAGTCACGTATAGAAAATGTCTGTATTTTTTTAATGTTCTGTACCATATGAATTGTAGGATAGAAGTAACTGGTATTTTATTTATTTAAATTCAAGCATTGGTACACGGGACACCAAATATACATGTCACACTTTCTCAGTTACCTCCATGAATGACTTCAGTGCTTCAGCTGAAATATTATCTGGTTCTGCTGATCTCCTTGTTATGTTGAGATGACAGCTATGGGAAGATGTATGTGTGCTACTTCGATGTCCGAGGCTAGTCTATTGAAGAATTATTCAAAGTGCTTAATGCATCAGTTTCTCTGTAGTTAAATCTCAGTGATTGGCTTGCCTTTTTTGTTCTTGATAGTTTGCTCTGGTTTACTGTGTTTTCTTGTTAGTTTCTCCATTCGTCGTATAATTGATTCGTATTTCCTTCTCGTACAGCTCATTCCGCTGTTGTTACTAGATCTTCTATTAATTTCTGCTTGTCAGCTCTAATGTTCTCTATCACAATCTTGTTTGCTTTAGTGTATTTATTCAGCTTTTGCCTTGAATTTCTGTGTTCTTGTTCGACTGATTTTAATTGCTGTTACTTTGTTTTTTCTTTCCTACCACTATCATTAACACCTCTCTTTTGTTGATAATAAGTAAACAGGTACAAATTACCTAGGTTCAGGGTTAAACTGTTGTGAGCTTTTCTTCAATGGATATTTTATTGAAGATTCTTTTCCCTTTTTTCTATGATAATTTTACCGTTGTATAAATTGATAGAGTCTGTTGTGAAATATCAGCCCACTGAAGAAAATGGTGTAGGGTGGCGCGATTTTGTGGGTTGGTTGAAGTTAGAAATTAACACCGTTGGATGCCAGCCGGCTCAGTCGTCTGGTTGGTTAAGCGCCTGGCGCGAGACTGATAGTTCCTGGGTTCGAATCTCGCGGGGTCGGGGTCGTGGATATGAACTGCCGAGGAGCCCCATATTAGGACGAAACGGCCATCCGGTGCTTCCAGTTTTTCCATGGTGATCTAGCTTCAATTGACTCATGATTTCAACTAATGAAGTGACTAAAATCTCCACAAAACCCTTTCTTATTTACGTGTACTATATGACTTGTTATAAATGTAATGAATCTTTTAAAAATATGGTTAGTATCTCAATCAGTCGATTACATCAAACTTTTTTCTGGAATTTTCAAAGCTCTCGCGTATCATCAAATCCCCACGGTGTATAATACTTTCACATTTAATGAATAATTGTCATAGCTACTACGAAATATTTATAGATATCCACATTTTTTGTTAAACCTATTCAATTATTGTCGGTTGAAGTGTGGTATAAATTTAGACATGTTAAAAAGCTTGTAATTTAAGGCTATATCAAGGCCATGCACACAGGATGCACATATATCAACATGAGATTGATCAATTACAGTCCCACGTAACAATGGGAAGGTACAAGTAAAACAACACCAAGTGAATTTAAGCGTCACTCTATTGCACAAGCAGGTGGTTATCAGGACTCAGTAACTAAGTGGATAACGCGATGGCGTTTGAAGCGAACGGTACTGGGTTCGAGTCACAGAGTGAACACGAACAAGTCTGTGATGCAGGTATACGTAGCTGACGAGTCCCAAATAGGACGAAGTGGCGCTCTTAAAACTGGATTACACTGTTAGGCACTATCCATGTTTGCTTAAACAGTTTGTGACTTAAGGTGATATCGAAGCAAATCACGTAGATAATTAGAAAAGTTTTGTTAATTATTTCATTCAGTTTTGATTGACTTACTGAATTCCTAGCATTTGTTACCTTCCAATGAAGCATAGTCTATCGATCATTATTGTTCAATCCACTCTATCCTAATAATTGAATTCATGAATCAGTCAGTCAATCAGCTTCAACATAGGATCAAGCACATAGGTGCATCGGTCCAAGTTGCCATACTTTACTCATTAGCACAACAAGATGAACATTGGATTTATAGAATTAGTTAATTCAATGGTGGTACTATATATATAAAAGAAAGATTTCATATAAGGATATAGTACAGGAAGAAAGATTTAGTACGTAGAATCAATTAAAACTAGATCATTATTAAAGAAAACAACCTCAAAGCATTAAACGGTTATTTCATTCTAATATAAGACTCTTCAACAGTACACATTCATGATTCCATCCTTACAAGGATTCGAACCAAGGACTTATTGAGTTTTTTCATTCATCTAATCAATTGCATCATCATCATCTTCAGTGTAGATTTAAGTTGATTAATTCATTTTAATTGGTATTAAATATATGTAGGTGTTTGTTTTCTAACTTAACCACCCACCCACCCCTTACCTACCTACCTACCTACCTAGTAATTGCACTTAGTTTTAATCATTATGAGTCATTTTATTCGCTTCTTTTTTTTCTTTTTACAAAATGTATTCTTGAATAATAATGTGCCAAAAAAGTTTGTTTTTTTTGACTAAGAAAATCTGAGATTATGTCATAGATTATTATTATTATTACTATTACCATTACTATTACTACTACTACTATTATTATTATTATTATTATTCTATGTAACTGTAATATAGATTGATATACTTTTTGTTGTTGCCATGTTGATTATCAAGTTGATTGATTGATGGAATGGTGCCAAATATAAAACTCAGAATCAATAAAAAAAAGGATTCTCCCTTTTTGTTTCTGTATTGAAAAAAGAAAGAAAGAAACAATACTATTCATGATAATGATGATTTATTTATAATATGAGATATATGTATAACTAAACAATTAATTATCAATATATACCATTCTTGAAGATTTAATCATTCTTTTGTTAGATCTTGAATAGTAACTAATGGGATCTATTTATGAACTAATACTATACATAATATATTTATTGTATGGTTACTAAGTGGATAAACTTTGCATATTTATGTTCCCCTTATTATATGCTTTATTTTGACTATAGACTATTATGATACCATTTATCATTCGTGAGTTATGCCCAATCTATCCATTACTATCTCTTACATTCACAACCACTTTTGGCTACTATCTTGTACAAATGTATATTTTCTATTTTGTAATGCGATGTAGTCTATTTGGTTTGTATATAAACCTACTATGTTTGAAATACATGATTGATATCGTGGAGGCTGAGACTGGTGTTCTGAATACACCGGGGAGACAGGGAGAACGACAGATTAGGACTCTAAACTGCTCGTATGATTTTACGCGTCATTAATAAATCATTGTTCTCTAATTGATGGTATAATTATGTTATCCATCAACAGGGTGCACCGGCCACAAGTTATAACATTTGACACGTGTTCATTGTTTGTTGAGAAGAGATAGTCTTTAAACTAGTTTTTTTTTTCTTTTCTTTCCCACCCCAGATACATGAATTCGTCTCTTTTCTTTGTTAACACTGTGATTAGTTTATCATTGACTTATGTATCTTATGTAATTCATTGATTAATATGATGACTTCATGTTTGTTAATGTGATATATACAAGACATAATTTCCTATCTTTGTTCAACTTCTAAGTTCTTTGATTTTATTCCAAATCTTATGATGATATAAACAACAACTAGTGACAACATTCAAACGTAAGAAACACCAAATGTGTTAACTACAGAGACAAACTTCAAGAGGTAATTCTCGAAATTCTAATGATGAATAGACATGAAATAGAAAGTTTACAAAGCATCCAATATGATATAATAGATCTATCACCAATTCCAAATGATGAACATTCCACATTGTGAATTCATTGAAATGATCTAAACGTTCAACAATTGTTGTAGTACAAAACATACGTTTAATTCTTGGTGGGGTTGTCTTTTTTCCATTAGGAGTAATAGGTGTAAGTAAGTAATTTGCTCACTTCTGAATAGTTATCTACTGTGATGAAACAACTGCATCGTACTTTCTGGTTTTTAAATTCTGCCTAACTAACTAAGATTACTTCACGATGCCATTTTTGAGCCTTTTTCCAGTATTATTATCATCAATGCAGATATATTATTTGACGTCGTTTTGTTTGCATTCTTCTCTTTTTTTCTTATTTTCTAGCTTGTTTCTTCTCACATTATCTTGTATATAATACTACTTCCAACAATCATTCTAATACTGATAAAAACAATCATAACTCTGAAATTGCTCATCAACCTAATTTACTTCTAATCAGTTTAAATGGTCTAATCTGGTATCAAGGGAATATATTAGCTGGTACTAATGATCCAGATCCATTGGGTCAATTAAATTGGCTTCGAAAAACATTTGAATGGGCAAGAAAACGAAAAGATAAAGTAAGTTTCTAATTATTTGGAATTATACTTGGTTACATATTGGATGTATATAAATATCAGAAAGGGGTTGTTGTGCAGGTTGTAGTTATTTCACTAATTGAGATCGTGAGTCAATTGAAACTTGACCACCATGGAAAACCGGGAAGAACTGAACGGCCGTTTTATTACACATCCACCATTGTCATCAGTGAGTTATATATATAATGATAGTGGAGCAACCCAAATACTCTTAAATCGAACTAGTATTATGTCTTTCGCACAGCAACTTTTTGTCGAGCTTCCTGAAATATTGAATCATATCTTAAAGTGACATCAACTCTCTGTCATTATTTATTTGATTTTTGAATCAATAAGATTCATTAATTAAATTAATTATTATAGAAGAATATAATTTGATCTTTTTAAAAAAAGATCTTTTGGTTTAAAATTTTACGCCTAATACTCCTTGTGACAGAGCATAGGCCGCTCATCAGCATTCTCCATCCAACCCTGTCCCTTTCTAGCTCTTTCCAGTTGTTATTCATTCTTTTCATATCTGATTCTATTTCCCGGTGTAATGCGTTCTTTGGCCTTCCTCTTTTCCGTTTCCATTCACGGTTCCAAGTTATGGCTGGCCTCGCGATGCAGTTTGATGATTTGCGTAATGTATGTCCTATTCGTTTCCATCGTCTTTTCTTAATTTCCTCTTCAGCTGCAATCTGGTTTGTTCTCTCCCAGAAAAGGATGTTGCTGATGGTATCCAGTCAATGTATGTTGAGTATCTTGCATAGACAGCCATTTGTAAATATTTGAACCTTTTTGTTGATGGTTGTAGTAGTTCTCCAAGTTTCAGCTCCGTAAAGTAGAACTGTCTTGACGTTCGTACTGGAGATTGTGACTTCGATATTGGTTGAAAGTCGTTTCGAGTTGCTTATGTTCTTCAAGTGAAGGAATGCGACCTTTGCTTTGCCAATCCTCGCCTTTACGTCTGCATCTGATCCTCCTTATTGATCGACGATGCTTCCCAGATATGTGAAAGATTCTACATCTTCCAGAGGTTCGTCATTAAATGTGATTGGATTAATGTTCTTTGTGTTGTATTTGAGGACCTTGGTTTTCCTTTTGTGTATGTTGAGGCCTACTGATGCAGAGACTGCTGCTACACCGGTTGTTTTTGCATAATTTGACCCAACACAAATGTATTGAATTTCATGTTGTCATATATCAATCAGATAAGCAAATAGAAATACAGAATCAATACAGCTATACTATTATGTTTGACTTTTTCTCCCATCATATGTCTTACTCAACAGCTCTTTTTTACTCTTTGATTATTTATTTTTAAAGGTTTTACTTGTTAGTCATTTCCCTCCGGGTGCTTCAGAAAATGCTCCACAATGGTATCAATTTCTTCGTCCAGAAATCAATGATCAATTTGTGAATATATTAATTGATAATGCAGATTTATTAATGACTGGATTATTTGCCCATGAACATGTGGATAGTTTTCGATTATTAGTATCTAAATCAAGTTAGTATTCATTTATTATTATTTTTTATTTCAACACAGATATTGGTACAAAGAGGCACCAAATATATAGGCGCCACACAAATCTCATTCGATATGTGTGAGGGCGGTGATACTGCCCGGGTACCCAAACCGAAGCAGTTGGCCACTCCCGAGTCTTCGACCTGAAGGTCTGATCCACGGGCAGTGGAGCATCGTCAGGAGATGCAGTCCTATGGAAGCCGGTGACCAACGATTGGTTCATACGCCATTTGTTCCCGCAGGATGCTGGAGCCCATGTGCACCATTGGTTTGGGATCCAGTTAAAGCGCCGGACATTCGCTTTCCGCCCTCTCATTTTTGTAAACAACACCCCCGCCACGAGAAGGCAGTGATTAGGACTTGCCTGGCAGAGGCTATATACGCATGGCCATGTGAGAACATTTCGAGAGGGAGAGCGTACTCTCCCCACTCTCGGCCGTACCAGGGCATATATATATGAGGGTTGGGATACTGCCATGGTGCTTAAACTGAAGCAAGTAGTTTGGGAGAAAAAGAAGAAGATGTAGTCGGTGACCAACGATTAATTCATACATCATTTGTTCTTTTGGAATATTGAAACCCATGTGGATCATTGGTTTGAAATGAAGATTTTCCAACTTCCTTAGGTGGACTCTCCGTATCCACTAATCTGGTTAAAGTACCGAATATTCGATTTTCATCTTGTGATTAAGATTTGTAATCATTTATCAAAAAAATATTTAATTCCTTCTCATAGAATCTTTTCATTTCTATTTCATTTGTTTTTAGATGTACCATTAGCATCTTTATTTCTTATGCCTTCTATTTCTCCATTAATGTTACATGGATTAGGTGATTTTAATCCACGTATTCGATTATATCGATTTAAACGTTCCACAATGACCCTATTAGGTTATTCACAATATTATTTTAATTTACAAAATCAATTATTCAATTCTGATCCATTCAATTATTGGCAATTAGAATATGATACAATGGATACGTATCATTTAACTGATTTATCTGCAAATTCATTCAATCTATTATGGTATAATTTTTCTAATGAAGATAATCATTATTGGTCAAAATATTGGAATTATGAATTAGGCGGTCGACCACATGTATTCAAACCAAATTATCTTACAGAGAATGGTCTTTGTCCACGAGCCAAATCCCAATGTCGATGTGATCATTTATGTGCTATACGATTTTTGATTATATCCGATTTAAACTAATTGTCTTCAATTATGTAAAGATATAAAATATATTCAAAACAATGAAATAGCTGGCAATGGTGGTGATAATAGTTTTCAACATCCAATGTTTGCTGATGCTGATGCTGCTGTTGCTCCTGATTATCATAATAAAAATAGCACCTATTTAAATCATTCAATTAATAATCAAACAAGTATTACAAATTCTAATGAACGTAGTAGTCTACCATATATTATTGGTGTGATTGTTGCCTTTTTAGTGGTATTAGTCGGTATTGTTTTAATTGTTAATCGTGAAGTATGTAATCGACATAGAGTTTATCATCAGCGTACATCATTACTGGCCAGTGTAATCGGTATCAATGGAACTAATCCTGGAGGTATCGGTGGGAATGGTCTATTTTTAAATACAATCAATGGTGCATTACCCAGCTCTTCATTTCTTCATGGATCATGTTCAGTTGCTAAAGGTAACGATCATTGTACCGGTGGTTCGTGTATTGAATTGCGTACAGCTTTTCATCCATCCTATGATGATTTCTATCCGGAATATCTTAATAAATCTGTCACATCTTTAAATGCAATCACATTCTCCAACGGTACTACTACTACTACTACTACTAATAATAATAATCATCATAAAGAATCAGATCGAATAATGAATCAATACAATGTAGAGAATTCCTTTACTCCATTGGAGCATAATGATACAATCCTGTCACCATCTCATATGATTTCCTACTATGAAAATCCTAGTGATAATAGTAGGAGTAGTAATGATAATAATAATAATAATAACCAAAGCATAAAACAAAAGTATATTAGTAAACGATATTCCCTACCGAATTATGCTTATTTTAAAAAATATCTATCTAGTCATATTAATCCAACTGGTCGAATGGTGTATGTAGTGAATCAACTGTTTGATCGTTGTGGGCACACTAATAGTCGGGTAAGTAATATTCAGCATGGCCATCAGACAAATCAAGAGTGGCAAAGCAGCAGGACCAGACAACATTCCAGCAGAGGCACTAAAGCAGACGTAGCGGCAACTGCAAGGATACTCCACATTCTCTTCAAAAGATTTGGGATGAGGAAGAAGTACCAAAAGACTGGAAAGAAGGACTCTGATCAAATACCGAAGAAAGGCGATCTCAGCAAGTGTGATAACTACAGGGGCATCACTCTTCTCTCAATACCGGGAAAAGTCTTCAAGGGTATTGTTAAACAGGATGAAGGACTGTGTAGACGCCCAACTTCGTGACCAAGGCAGGATTCCGTAAGGATAGATCGTGTACAGACCAAATCGCAACTCTACGGATCATTGTGGAACAATCAATTGAATGGAATTCATCACTCTACATCAACTTCATTGACTACGAAAAGGCATTTGATAGCGTGGACAGAACAACACTATGGAAGCTTCTTCGACACTACGGCGTGCCTCAGAAGATAGTCAATATCATACAGGAATTGGTATGATGGATTACACTGCAAAATCGTGCATGGAGGACAGTTGACAAAGTCGTTCGAGGTAAAGATCGGTGTTAGGCAAGGTTGCTTACTCTCACCCTTTCTCTTTCTCCTGGTGATCGACTGGATCATGAAGACGTGAAGTTATGAAGTGAAGCACGGGATACAATGGACATGTAGAATGCAGTTGGACTATCTAGACTTCTCAGATGATCTGGCCCTCTCGCAAACGCGACAACAAATGCAGGAGAAGACGACTAGTGTGGAGCAGCCTCAGCAGCAGTAGGTCTCAATATGCACAAAGGGAAAAGCAAGATTCTCCGATGCAACACAGCATGCACCAATCCAATCAGAATTGACGGAGAATATTTGGAAGATGTGAAAACCTTTACATATTTGGGCAGCGTCATTCATGAATATGGTGGATGTGATGCAGATGTGAAGGCGCGGATGGGCAAAGCAAGAGCAGCATATTTACAACTGAGGAACATCTGGAACTCAAAGCAACTCTCTGTCAACCAACACCAAGTTCAGGATTTTCAATACAAATGTCAAGACAGTTCTACTGTATGGGGCAGAAACCTGGAGAACTACGAAAGCCATCATCCAGAAAATACAGGTGTTTATTAAGAGTTGTCTACGCAAAATATTTCGGATCCGTTGGGCGGACACTATTAGCAACAACGTACTGTGGTAGAGAACAAACCAGATGCCAGCGGAGAAAGAAATCAGGATGATGATGCGTTGGAAGTGGATAGGACACACATTGAGGAAAGCACCCGACTGCGTCAGAACACAATCTCTCACATAGAATTCTCAAGGCCAAATGAGAAGAGGAAGACCGAAGAACACATTACGCCGAGAAATGGAAATAGACATGAGAAAAATGAACAAGAATTGGATGGAACTAGAAAAGAAGGCCCAGGACGGAGTGGGTAGGAGACTGTTGGTCGGTGGTCTATGCTTGATTGTGTGTAGTATGCGTAAGTAAATAAGTATTCTATTTCAGATCATAAACAAAATTCATCTTTATATACTGGAAATGGCTTCTATAGAATACTTAAATTCATATTTCACTATTGTCGTCCTATCAACTAGTTCATGTATAGGTATAGTGACAAAATCATTTTCGTTTTTTGGTAATACCCACATTGTCGTATTCTTAAGAATATAAATCGTAACTAAACCAATGTGATGCCAATAATGAAATGCCAGCAGCTGACAAATTCATAACTAATTAATGATAGTTTCTTTTCAATGGTGTAGAATGATCCAAACATTATGGTCATGTGTTTATATCATATTTTACGTTTATAACAGATGAAATGATTATATAGTTTCATAAATATTGCTATTGTAATTATGAACTGGTCAATGTTAAAGCATTATTAGAAATCTGGAAGTACTAGACGGTCTTTTCGTCCTATTGTGGGACTCTTCATCAGTGAGTTTCCATGACCCTTCCTCACGAGATTCGAGCTCAGGACCGATCAGTTTTGCGCGTGAGCACTTAACCTCTAGACCACTGAGCCAGTTGGCATTCAGCAGTGTTAATGTCTAACTTCAACCAATCCACATCATTACACCACCGTCCATTATTGTCTTCAATGAGTTACCATCTCATAATAGACCCAGTTGAACTCCGCTGGTCACTGCTTCTTATTAGAACTCCAGGAAATACTTCTCAAAGCCTATCATTAGTGAGCACGAATTATTAAAAAGTAAAATTAGCAACAGCCTGAAATTAATGTAAATGGAACAAATCACAATGAGGATATTATTCAGTGAATACATACATAATCCATTAGAATCTATCTATCTATCATTCTATTTAATTGTCCATATATTTATCTATTCATAAACCCCTATTTATGTGTAGACATTTAACTAATGATGATAGTTGGGAGTAATCAGCACAGTTATTGATTCAATCTTTGCACATAATACATTTCTATTGATTCTACATCATTGTAACATCTTTATTATGATAAGTAGTTACTTGTCTGGTTTATTCAATACTTGTTTTGTATTATTGTCTGAATTTATTGTTAAAGTATTTCTAAATTAAGATTGTGTTTATTCTGAACTGAGATTATGTTATAGTGAATAAGATTACATAAATGGGAACAACCTTTGGTATTTAAATATAAGATTACAGTATCAGTTGTGAGATAGTAACTCATTGGTAACAATGGTTGGTGTGTCGCTAAATTTCGTGGATTAGTTGAAGTTAGACACTAACAGCGTTGAATGCCGGCTGGTTCAGTGGTCTAGTGGTTAAGCGCTCGTGCGCGAGACTGGTAGTTCCTGGGTTCGAATCCCGCGAGGCATGGTCGTGTATGCGCACTGTTGAGGAGTCCCACAATAGGACAAAATGGCCTCCCAGATTTTCCAGGTTTCCTATGGTGGTCTAGCTTCAATTGACTCATGATCTGAATTAATGAAATAACTACAATCTCCACAAAACTCCCTTCTGTTACAGTATCATTTAGTAAAATCTAAGCCTTAGACTTGATTGTTCTTTTGCTTCCACACCAATTATTCTTTGTTCCTTCTCTCTATTTCTTTGATCTTTTTACCCTTCTGCCACCTGTCATTTCACTTTCGATTGATGATACATACTACTGATATCTGTCGATATCAGTAGAACACATCACAATGTATCTTAGTTTAAGATAAATTAATAGTATGTAGTCATGATTACAACAGATGAGTTTGGACCTGATACGTTAAGCTTTAACAGTTATTATGATCCATATTTAGAAGACCAACAGTCGTCTCACTTGCTAACTACATGTAATACGGAATCATTTTTTTATAATGATCAATTCATGTCATTGATAAGCATTCACGTAAATTTCCGATTTGGTTATTTATTTATTTAAACAGATAAACATTGGTACAAGAAGGCATTAAATAGATATGCGACATATAAATCATTCGATTTGTGTGAGGTCTAGGATACTGCCCGGGTGCCTAAACCGAAACAGGTGGTTTTATTAGGGGGGCACACTCCGAGCCTTTGACATAGAGGTCTAATCCATAAGGTAGTGGAGAAACGTAAAGAGATGAAGTCCCGTGGTAATCGGTGACGAACAATGCGTTCACATGCCATATATTCGTTCAGGATCTTGGAGCCCATGTTTTTCATTAGTTTGGAATGTGAGTTTTTCAATTGCCATATGTGAATCCACCAACCGGGTTAAACGTCGGATATTCGCTTTTCGTCTTCTCAATTTTGTAAACAATGCTCTTGCCGCATGAAGGTAAAGGGTAGGACTTCTATGGTAGTGGTTGTATGAACGTGACCATTTGAAAAAGGAGAGTTGACTCTCTCCACTCTCGGCCATACCAGAAAATTTGGCGGCTGATTCCATTAATTTTGTAGTTTATAATTAACATTAATTGATTATTTATATCAGGTAACTATGCACTGAAGTTGTAAGCATATGAATGTTTTCTGAAGATAAATGCCAAAATAATTGTAGTCTAATAAATCATAATAAAAGTACTTTCAGTTGTACATGATCTAAGAAAATTGATGTAAAAGATCATTGATTGTTTCATTCTTAATTGACCATTTATTATACACTAATCAAATCATAATCACATGATCTTGATTGAATAAGTTTATGCTGAAAATTCCAAATGGAACATATATCATATGAACGATATATTTTGCTCTCCAATAGCCAATCATATGGATTTGTGTTTTAGTGGCCATGTATCTGACTCTATTTAGATCGTATGATGATCGTTGTCGAAAATATACATCCTGGTTTTTGATTCAAATCACGAACCGATTGATCTGAGACCACCATTGAAACCCTGTAAGCATTGGACGGCCGTTTCGTTCTATTGTGGGACTCCTCAACAATGTGCGAATCCCGCGAGCGGCATCGTGCTTCCAGGTTTTCAATGATTGTCTAACATCAGTCGGTTCATGATCTGAAACAGAAACTTAATAATCTTCACAACCCCTATACTGAGGATTGATTAAGTCAAATACGTGAATGGATTTCGAATATGTATATTTCATGCAATCATTGATCCAAACAGACGATCAACGAGAAAGCGAAACGAAACAAAATGACGCCCAGTGAAGAAAGTGAGTAAACCAACTCAATTTAATCAATTGTAACTCAATAGTTATAATCAAATAAAAATTAGTTACAGACATATAATCAATAGGATAAGTAATTAACACACATACACTCATACACAGTCAGGGTTATTAAACGAATAAGTGACATGGTAAAACTGTGACTTGATAAGAATGAATAGATCGATCTGTCTTGAAGCTAGAATAATTTCTGTGTGTTCGACTTAGTACCAACTCCTACAGTATGAAGAATTCGTCCCACGGATAAATTATTCATTCTGTCATCATCCGACATATAAGTATTACATCATATTACTTATTTCGTAATATATTAATGAAATAAATAGTGATATAATACATTGCTATGAATCTATAAATTACTTCAGTACTTCCTTTATTTCATCATTGATAAGGTCAGCTTAAAGTCAGTCAATTCATCAATATGACATGATGAACTATCAATCAATCAAATGTTCATCCTGATCATAGGATAGGAATTGACCAATGAAATACATTCTTTAGCTGAATACACTCAGGAGTATATACATTATGCTCATATCAAGCATTTAAAAGTCCTTTACTCTATTCTACTCAAGATTATAAGTATACTCTATTAACTAGTTATTCAACATGAATCAATCAACTAGTAAGTGTGCAATAACTCTCTATTCAATGTCATTTCATGATGGATATTAGTTTAAATTTGATTGTTGCCAAACTAATATGAGAGGAAATGATCTGTTTAGAAAAGTTGAAGTAAGTATTAAAGGGAAATTTGACCCAGAGACAGACTGTTATCATTCTAGATTAAACTATCGTAATTCTGTAGGGAAACAACGAACGTTATTGATTCGAACATCAAGAAGTTTAAAGGATAAATACTTTTATTTATATGTTGAATTTATTAGTATTTTACTGCTATTGTTAACTCCGCCTTTCGCTCTTCTAGAGTTACTGATGATTCCAAGCCTGAGTAAAAGAGAGGAGTGGACATGTAGTAAGCAACCCCATATCATAGAAACAACATTGCTAAAACGACGCTAACACTGCGTTGAGAATTGGAAGTAGACATGAGGAGGATGAATAGCAAGTGGAAATGAGTGCCTAGGACAGAGTTTGATCCAAAGTGCTGTTGAGCGGCCAATGCTCCTTCATGAGAGGGAACAGGCGTAAGTAAATAAGTAAGTTTCTGCTATTGGCAATGATGAATGTTTTTGAAACCTCTTTTGAAAATCAATTTATAAATCAAAATACAAGAGGCAAATCATGTTGAAAATATTTGCAGGTATATGATTTATTGATTCATCATCATAGTTATCCATGGATAAAACACTATAATAACAATAATTTATTAGTTGAATTCGTGAGTCAATTAAAGATAAACCACAATAGAAAACGTGAAAGCATTGGACGGCTATTTCGTTCTAGTGTGGGAACCCTAAGCAGCGAGCATCTACGATTCCGCCTCGTGAGATTTAGATTCTGGACCTGTGGGTCTCACGCGCGAAAATTTAACCTGCAGACTACTGCGCCGGCTGGCATCCAACAGTATTAATGTCTAACTTCAATCAATACACAAAATTGCATCACTGTCCACCATTGTCTTCAGTGAGTTATTATCCCACAATAAATCTGGTTGAACTCCACTGATCACTCCTTCTTTCTAGAATTCCAGGAAATACCTCTTGAAGCCAATCACTAGTGAGCATATATTGATTAGTATGAGAAAGGGGGGTGTTGTGGATATGGCAGTAATTTTATTAGTTTACATCCTTGTCAATTGAAGCTAGACCACCATGAAAAACCTAGAATCACTGAACGACTATTTCGTCCTAGTATGGAACTGCTCAACACCAGGATCCCGCCTCACGAGATTCGAAACCAGGACCTGTCGGTCTCGCGCGCGAACGCGAGTCAGCCTCCAATTGTTGTTTAGCTTAGATCGACACGTGAATTTATCTATTAAATTACTATAATATTCACAAACTCCCCTTTCTGATTATAATAATAATAATAATTAATTATTAAGTAAACTGACATAAAACGTTTAGTTTTTCTTTCTTATTTACACTTACAATTCGTATAATTGAAATATTAATCAAACTACAGATTGTTCAAACTGGCACATTTATTACATATAATATAGAAAACAATTAGGATAAGCCAGTCCAACAATAGATCATACTTAATGATATAATAAGCAAGTAAAACTCACATGATTGAACCATGTTTCTTAAATGATGTACCATGTTTTTCTATGCAAAAAACCCATTTGTTGTTGAGTGTTTTATTTACTTCATATTAACGATTTAGACTAACTCCACTTGGAGCCCCTCTGGGGATACTGATAGTCCTAAACCCGAATAAAGGAGGAGGGTTGGGTATGCGGTTAGTGATAAGACGGTGGTTGGAGGTAGTCAACAGGAAACTCTGGATCCGGGTTTCGTGCTACTTGGCACTCGTCAGTAAGGTGTACCTGTAATCTTGAAGCAACTGGTGCTCCCTAACGAAACCGATCCCGTGTCACCCAGCTTCACAGTCAGAGACTTTACCACTGGGCCGTCCGGGCCGCGGCAGACCTCCTGTAGGACTGAGATGTATTCACAGTTGATTGAACACTGGCCGATCACTTGGTCGATAACATTCGATCTGCACTACGAAGGACTTGGCACACATGACATTGATCACCACCCAGTGATCAATCAAAGAATATAAATCACCAGAAAAATAATTCCAGATTTAGACTAATAATTCAAAGTTAATATTATTTCTCATACTTCTAAAATAACTTGAAATAACCATACTCTGCTTAGAGCCTCTCTAAGGCTACTACCGGGTCCTAAGCATGGATAAAGGAGGAGGGTTGGATGTGGGGTTAGAGACCTTATTTCGTAGAAAACTAACTCATCATACAGTAAAATTAATGAACAGTAATACAAAGTTGCTTTGAACGTTGTTACTTACTT